AATCTAGGCTAGGTTAGCTTAAACTAGCCTAGTATGTAGGTTAAGCACTACTCTAAGTTTATAATAAAGTTTAATTATAAGTATAATTATAAAAGAGCGCTTTATAAGAATCTAGAGGTTATTTAGAGCTAGTTTTACCTAGTAGCTAACATAAAAGCTAAGTACAGTATCTAGAATAAAGACCTATATAACTTTAATAAGTTAAGCTTTATAATAAGCTAGATATTAACTAAAGTAGTTATTATAACTTTAAAAAGATAAAAACAGCTAAAGGTAATATAGTAAAGTAATAAAAAGTAAACAATAGTTATCTAAAGTATTAACATAATAAGGTAGGCTATAAGATTACAGAGCTTTAAGTAGTAAATAAGGCTACTACATAACATAGATTACATTAAAAAAAGTAGATTTAAGTAAAAAAAACTTTAATAGTTAAAGATAAAGCTTATTTAACTACTTTAAAGGAGTTTAAAGCGCGTAGTAATAGGAAAAAGCTAAAGACGCAGGTGCGCGCTAAAAAAGGTAAGCTAAGTTAAAAGTAATGTAAGTAGTGCAATTAGACTAGGCATAACTTACATATATATAAGTAAGTAGTAAAAGTAGACTCTAAATAATATCTTATGTTGTATTACTTTATATAGGGCAAAAGTAGGCTGTTTTGCAAGAGAATAAAGTGGTTTTAGTAAGGGCTTAGCAAAAGTAGCTGGCTAACCTGTGTGGCCAGCCAACCTGTTAGGTACGTTAGTTAATTATAACTTACTTATAAAGCTTTTATTAGTGTTAAGCTCTAGTAACACATTAGTAGCTATATTAGTAGCGCTATTTTTAGAGATAGTTTATAACACTACGCTTTTAAGCTGCTAGCTAAAAACTTAGGTAAAGTTACTATTTATGCCCTTTCTATAATTAGGCAACACTATATTAATAAAAAAAGTGTTAGTATTAATAAAAATAAGTGTTAGTAAAGTAGGTAAAATAATATGTTAAAGTTATAATAAGTTTAGATAGGCACTAAGCTTTACTAGGTAGGTAGTTGTTAGATTGAAGCACTGTTTCTGGGCTTCCTGAGATGAATGATGGGTTTGGATATGATGTATGGGGTGATTGATTGATTGTATTGATCGTGTTCATTTATCGATCCTTTTTCTGCTCTACTCGTGTTGCTCGGCTTTTTGTTTTGCCGATCCGAGTCCCTCGCGCACTTGCCCTATGCGCGACCAGCTTGCAAAATGCTGCAATTTTCTGCAATTTGCTGCAAACTGCTGCAACATGCTGCAAAATGCTACAAAATGCTGCAATTTGCTGCAACATGCTGCAAAATGCTGCAATTTGCAGCAACATACTGTTCGAGCTTATTGCTCGTACTATGTAGCAGCTTTCGTCAAGCGTTCCTCCTGTCTTGACAGTAGGTGCGCAAATCTGACAGTAGTAAGCTTTTATGTTAGCAGAATAAAAAAACGCTAAGCTCTATTAAGTAGGCAGTAAGGTACTACCTTAGTAGCTATAACTAGGATTTACTACTCTATGTACTAGAAAATACTGTAACTTTTAGTAATCCCCTAGTAAAACTTATAATATTATAGCTTATTAAGTTTATTAATTAAGTTTATTAAGTAAGTAAAATTTACTTAATTAACTTAATAAATTTAGCTTCTATGCTTAACTTAATTAACTTAATACTATTAAGTTAATTAAGTTAAGTTAACAAGTTAACTTAATTGTTGCCAAGTCTGGTGGTGTGCAGTTGGTGCGAGTGTCTAATACATAGCGCCTGAACCGTAACTTGTAATACCTATTGCTATGTACAGTAGCCCGTGCCTTCTCTTGATAGCATCCGCAGCCTGGGCGTCACCATTAACATTCTGCCCTCAGTTGGAGTATGCATTACTTGCCTTTTCTGCACCTGCGTAGACGCTAGCCACTGGACCCGATGCAACGACATATGGCCACATGCTCACATCAACAATGCTCAACCCTTTCGTTCCGTGCACTCGACTCTGTGGATCTACGACTCTACCATCTGCCCTCTCCATCATTGCATTCGTACAACACATGTGCGCATTCGTTGGCTGCGACGCCGCCTTCAAAGCAGCCCTGCCGTCGTAAACTTCACTGCCTTTCTTAAGTACTTCCATTATTGGGATAAATCAGTATCTTTCAGATTGAATATCCCTGTAAGGTTGATATATCCATAGTGCAATCATCAGGATTAGGCGTGCAGATCTTTAACTGCAACAAAAGAATGCCACCGTTGACGCCTGCCCAATTCTGCGACCATTGGAAGAATGTGAATGGCCCCAAGGCTGCTCCCTGGGCGAAAAAGCATTGCATAAAGCACCACAAACAGGTCCTGTACATCCAGGTCATTGTCTGCAGACGTGCTGTGCTAACCGGTGCTCCAAGTCCATATCTCTGGCACTACAGCCTCAGGGGTCACATCCAATAGCTCCATAAATTCTTCAAGCAACGTCGAGTTCCTCAAATATGTACACTATATTCAGGCCATTGAACTAGTCAAGTGAGAGTTGATAGACAAGAAGGGTGTGGGCAATGGCGTTGGGTTAGGTCTCTATGGAAAATTGCTTTGTATGGTTACTTCTGCCTAGGGAACGCTCAGCGAGAAAGGGAAGGCATGTCGTGACGCCTTTGTAAGACATTGAGAGCAGGGACAAGGATTTAATGGTGTTACTTCAACAATGGATTCATCTGTGAGGAAATCAACTAATACCTTTATTCCTCCAACTTCGAACTAACCTCTATAGTGCTAGAAAAGAACGCTCAAGTAATGACTGAATTGCTACTAACTTAGGAAACAGTACTAACAGCATAGCACAAGATGGAATTCTAAGCAACTTCGAACTACCCTCCATCTCAAAGAGAACTCTTAAGTAATGACCGAAATACTACTAAATTGTGAAACAGCACGGCAGTATAGCCCAAACGGAATGTTTAAGTGAGAACGCCAACATCCTCCCAGGCCTTCTTCACAGCGGCAGAAATGCTGGTATCGCTTGGGAATACTTTTGTTGCAATCTCCACGGTAGATTCCGCAAAGGTCTCGAAGGTGCAATCCTGCGGGATCTTTCCGGATATCATGGTCTGATACCATACTTTTCCAATCTTCTCCCAGGAGTACCCACCCACAGCTCGTGCAGCGAGGTAGAAGGCGTGGTTAGGGATGCCAGAGTTGATGTGTACTCCGCCATGATCCCCCTTACCCTTGTAGAAGTTCTTCATGTTCTTCGGCTGAGGGTCTGTCCCGAGGTTTTCGTCGTTCATGAAAGCCTTGTTGGCGTTCAACTTACGCAATCCATCTCCTTTAAAGGCTACGGTGAAAATGGTCTCTCCGATGATCCAGTTCGCCTCCTCCACTGTCTGCTTCTTATACCATTGCTCAACCATGCATGCAAACACATCAGCCACGCTCTCATTAAGAGCTCCGGATTGCCCGTAATAAATGAGAGGAGAAGAGTGCTCGACGAAGCCGTGGGTCAGCTCGTGGGCGCAAACATCGAGAGAGTCAGTAAAGTAGTCGAAAGCGATGCCATCGCCGTCTCCGAAGACCATGTACGTCCCATCCCAGAAAGCATTATCATACCCAACTGTTTCTTCAAACGGTTTAAAATGAACACAACCCTTTAGTGGAAGTCCCTCATTGTCGAGAGAGTTGCGGTTGAATACAGACTTGTAGAAGTCGTAAGTCGTACCCAGCGCGTCGTAACAGTTGTTGACTTGGCGGTCCTTAATAGCAGCGTCACCTTCCTTTCGGACTGGCTTGCCAGGGAGCTCCGCCTTCTGCTCGCAATCGTAAACCCAGCGATTGCGGGCACCGTTAACCTCTTTTGCCTCTGCAACCACGAAGGTTCCCTACCCGGACGTTAGGATCATCCCGCCGTTGTTATGATGAAAGTCAGATCCCTATTGTCCCACTTACAACAACTCCAGCGCGCTGGTATCTTCCGTCATGAATATTGCCTGCGACCTCCAATGCCTTCTTGGAGGCTAGTTTTGTCTTTTCATCGAGATCGGAAGCCACAATCCTCTCATGGATGTACGGCGGAATGAAGAAGCATGCTGCGCGAGTCTGGTTTGTTTCTCCGGATGGGCACACTTCGCTCATTGTATTCTCTCAAAGCGCTGAAGCGTGATAAGGTTTTTGAAATAAGACTTGATTGACTCTTCCGGGAGCGTTGTGATGTAGTTTGATAGTTATCTGAATTTCATCGATTCGATGTTGAGGGCAACCCTCATATTTTAAACCATCTGGTCAATGGTGGGGACCGCAGCCCTCGGGCTAAACTCTTGCCATATTACGCTTCTCGTCTAAGTTCTCAAAAACAACCTTGAACACCCTTCTCTCGGTTACCCATGTCTTTCGCATGTTTTCTTCAGCTGTTCTCTACCCAGACCAGGACCACCAAAGGCACTCCGAGGCACATCTCATGTTCATTGTCCAATAGGGCTATCCTTCCTAACATGCCTCCAAGTAAGACATATCACTACACCGCCTCCACATCGCCGAGAGCTCTTCTTGGATATTGCATGGGACCTTTTTAAGCTGGTTTTGGAAGTCATATACTGAGCTGTAAGCCAAATACAGTGGTTCGATTGGTCTTCTAGTTCTCCACCTAGAGTATGATAATTCAGCCCCTATAACTCCGTTACCTTTCGCATATGTCCAATCAGCGCTTTATATCCTTTTGGTTGACGACTTGACTGGAGAGTCGATCTTCCTCACTCCTCATTCTATCACACGACACGCAAAGATGGAAAGCCATATCTCGTGGAGGGTCGGGCTTTAAGTTTCCACACGGTAATCCCACCAAGTAGCGAGCGAGCGCCCGGAGAATGTGGGGGAATTCTAAACAATGGGTCAGCTTTTCCTTGGCGTTTTCCAAACCTGGTTGGGACGGCCCGCGAATGCAGCTGGTACTCGTTCGTCCGCATAGGGCTGAAAATATCAAGAGGGACCACGGTATGTCAGGGTTCTTATGATAAAGCCATTGTTTCCCACCCGAAGTTGAGGGGCTTGACATTTCAGCTGCAGCTGAGCCATCGATATGAAATTGACTTCTTATCACACTCGTCCACTCGAAATTCTCATTATATTCAGGAAAGAGCAGTATTTGCATTCTGGTGAAGTTGATGGAATTGTCGCGACACACATGTCAAGGTTTTGTGGCATAGGGTGCCATGATATCCACAGTGTGTGGCTGCTTTGGCCGTCCTGCCTTTTGCTGTTTTGGATGTCTGCGGGCAGTCTTTTCAAGTTTGCGATGGCACTTGCCGTCCGACAAAGTTTGGGATGTGCGTGATGGGAGGGGAGGATCGAACCAATCGTAAAGATTTTCATTCGCTTGTGGATGTGATGTCTGCCTCGGGGGTTTCCTACTGAAGATTGGGGAATGAATGTTTGGGGTCGAGTGACTAGGTAAGTGTCTCTCTCTCTAATTTTCAAATTCTGATTAGTTGCGTTTCTTAGTTGTGTCTGCGCTTGCGCACTTTTTGAACCATCACTTGCGGTCACGAAAGGTGCTGAAACGTACCCGTAGTTCCCGCCATGTGGGCGGATGAATTCGGCTAGAGTCGTTCAGCTAAAGGCCCAGACAGCAGACGCCAACGTCGTGGCTGTCCTAGTGGCACATCGATAAGATATGAGCTAGTCCTAAAGAGGATTATTCGGGCAAGCGATAGATTTCTTGCATACAACAGGATGCGATAATTTGGGCGAAGAATGAGACATTGAGTTCTGGCCTAAAGTTTATTTGTAAACTAGAGCTATAGGTATAGAATCCAGACATCAAGAAGAGTAAGCGAAGCTGTGGACGACGAATCGCAGTAGGCCCACCTCCGCCTCAATCGACCTTCCTGTCGCTTCGGGATACGAACGTATATCAGCCATCACGTCCACTCGCGCAAGGAGTACCTTCAAGGTTGTATCTCACTCCTGTGTTGCCCCAAGTATGAAGGTATCCGCGATAGCTGTTGCACTTGGATAATAGATATCAGTCGTGTTTCTAGCCTTACTATCTCTCCGGTTGGCCGAGCAATGTTTGGAAGCGTGAGATCTCGACGGTCATACCAAGGGGGCGGGGTCTGGGGCTATCTAGGTACGCCGTTATGGCAAGGCTGCCCAGTCCTAGCTGCGAAGACTCCCACTAACAGATTCTGGAACTCATTGCTCGTCATCTAACATCTTCGACCTCCCCTGGCATTGTTATCCTACCTAGATCCTCTCTTTCACGTTTGAGGGGCTCTTCACGATACGTTCAGATAATTCCATTTAATATACAGGTCAATAAACCCCGTGGCTCTGGAATGGAAGTTGCAGCTTCTTATTCATTGCTCCCCCTTAAGTGCCTGATGAAGCTTCCTCGGCTCTTTGGAATTGCGTGGTAATATGTGCATGACTGGACATAAACCGCGCATCCCAGTGACCAGAAAATCACATCTCGGCCGACCAAGGTCGATTACACACCTTCTTCTCCAGGCCCATGCAGAATACTGCTGCACATAAAGCCAAGCTAATATCCAAGGCGCAGTTTCCATTTCTCTCTTGTACACTAGAGAGAGGAAAACTGCCGTAGTTTGGGATAATTACCACACGAAGGTCACCTTAGATGCAAGGAAGTCATAACTGACTAGCCGGCAATGATACTCAAGGGCAAATATACAAATCCATTGAACTCTATCCCTGAGGGGAGACTCGGTTATTATTTACAAAAATTAAATCAGGTCTTGCTCGTCTAATGAAGGTAAGCCGAGGCTATTCTATTAGCACTTCGGGCCAACAAATCCAGTGGTATTCTTCAAAGCCAGGGTCAGCACAAAGCCATCCTTCCACGAATCAGCCCCCTTGATTACTGCCGGTGCGACAATATCCGTCCGATTTCCCCTGATCAACGTATGATTCAGTCCGAACATCTTGTCCCTCGCATCCACCATTTCCTTCGGAACTTGTCCATTCGAAGTATACCCGTTCACGATCTCAGGAATCCCAAGTGGCAGAGAGTTGTTCTTGCTGTTGTACGGCCAGGTGTGGAATGTCTTTCCATATGTGTTGACCAAGATTTTCATTGCCTCCTTGTCCACGTTGTCTGGCATACCAGGCTCGACTAACAGTCCGGACGTAACCTCATATTGATGGGAATGCCAGAGTTGACGCTCTTCAAGGGGAAGCTTGGCGAAGGCATTGCCACTGATTATGTATTCCACCCCAGCAAGACGAGCGGGATTTGTTCCTGGAACGAAGATGGCACACTGGATGAAATCGGCGGACATGATGCTGCAGTGATGGTTGGCGTGCAGCACTTGGTCAGGATGACCCGAGATAAAGTGGAAGCCGTTAAGGAACAGCATAACAGACGACGGACCGATCAACCCGAACTGATTTTGAGGTTGAGTATCAGAGGCTACAATTGAAGCCAGGGCCAACATTTGTGCGAGTATCGTAAAGAGAGCCATGACTGGGAACATGGGGAAGAAGAGACAACAGATCAGAATCAAAACCCGGGTAAGAAGGTGTAAATTGGATGGGCGAGCAGGCTGCTGTCGTGAATGGGAGCAGTGTGAAGTGCGCCAGAGTCTCGATTTATACCCCAAGCCAGGACGCCATGGTAAAAACTCTCGCGGTAATGTCGGAAACGTTCTCAGAGCCTTCACCTTGGAGGTTGATAACTCAATCACGCCCCGAAGACTACTACGATGTTCCGATCTTCAATCTGGACGAAGAGGGCCTAGTAACTTGGAGGGAAGAGTCCCCGACTCGAGATTTAGGTTCGTGTCTGCGTCACAATTCCAAATCATTTTGAAATCGATTAGCGTAGAGAAAATTCGGCGCGGAGATATGTCGATGCCGGGAAGGGAAAAAGGGTGGGGAAAGCCGACTAGATGCTGAGCAACATCGCCGTTGAAGTCTCGTGGACGGGACGGCCCTTGAGAGATTGCGGTACTCTAAGATTCTACTCCCCGGTCACAGCCACCCAGCGTTCGCATTTTCTAAACATAAACGCAAGTTGATGTCGGGGGTGGCCCATCTTGAAGGTAGTCGGCGACTGCTGAAGAACTCGGCGAAGTCAATCTTCACATCCCAGTCATCTTCAAGGTGCAGCTTCCGACGACACCAGAAATTCCGATAGCAAGGGAAGGCAGGGCAAGTGAGTCAGAAAATGATCCTAGCATAACTTGCTCACATTATCGACATGTGTAATCAATGCGGTCGGGATGGGTCGGGTCTTGCTTGGTGGACTCGGCGGTTGCAGGGTAACCGAGAATGAGACGGAAAACCGGAAGTGGAGTGAGACGAAAAAAAGATGAGCGACAAGACGGCGAACAGGCTTCTTATAGACCAATTGGAAGGCTGCTTCACGTGGAATCACGCAATTCCCGCTATTCTCACCGGGGAATCTTCTGCGGCTCATCCCTTCATTGATGCGTCACTCTGCCCCAGCCTATTCCAAAGAGCCGCCAGCCACCACGCATATTCTATGGCGATTTATAATTAAAAATGTGAATTTAGTCTTCGACATATATCCTGGAAAACTCCACGTAATTCTTCGAATATCAAGTTTGCGGCCTTCTAGAGAGGGTATACTTTAAGGATTTGGGATGGCCTACATTGTTCTAGCGTTCATCTCTTAGAAAGCGTATGCTCCTCTGAGCTTTTGTAAATGACCGTTATTATCTCTTCAGTTCTAGGTAGATGACTTTCTTCCACCATCTCATCGCTGTTACTGTATTAGGAAGGTACCTGGGTATCTAGCAGCGAAGACAATTTTAGTCGCTACTGGAAAATGGATTTTTGTGAATAAGGTATGGGTCGACTCAGTAGCCAAACGAGTGACCTTACATTCAAGGACAGAGTACTGAGATTTCTTTGCAGGATCTTATTTCATTCTCCATCACAAGCCTTGCGCCTGAAGCGCCAGACGCCTCTCCCCGAAGCGATATCAATCACCATTACAAAGCTCAACGCTTAACGCTCAACGGGCACGCAATAACTACTCCAGCGGACAAGGTCGGAAGCTCTTATTTATATGTCACCGGCATGCCTCCGGGAAGCTCTGTGAGCCCTGCATCGCAACCATTAGCACCTTGTCAGGGATATAGATAGGAAGACTTACATCCTTCAACGGGCTCTACCATCTGTTGTGACTTTGCGCACTTCGTGGCCGCAGCTGAGGTTTGGGTCTTGAGTGTCTTGCAGGCATTGCCGCTGCATCGCGCATCAAGGGCCTTCTGTAACACACCCTCCTTCCAGCCAAAGAGGTAATCACCGTGCTGACCGTATCCAGAGCTATTACTGACGTTAGCAACGCATTGAATTGCCCCAATCACGAAGGGATAAGCCGCTTACCCGTCGCCCATAGAGTAGACGAACGGTTGGGAGCCATCGGTGGGCCACAAGCTCTTGTCATTGAAGACCGTCGTATCCCACATCACCTCGTACATGATCTGCGGAAGCTTGACTGGATGAGTTGATGGGCATGCACCATTAGATTCAAAAGATCCGCCTTCGACATGTCAGCATTGCTAAAGTGCACAGTGGGATGAATATACTACTTGGGTAGGCGACGTGAGACTTGTGGTCTGGCGAATCGGTGTTCTTTCCGTCCCAGCATCTGCGGACTGTCAATTGTGGACGTAAATCTTATACTCTAGGAGTGAACTTGCGTGGGGAAAGTGATGGTGGTTCGGATACCGCCACCGCATTGCTTCTTTGGGAGATCGAACGTGTCGTCGCCCGTGCATGGAGCGCCTCCAAATGGATCCTGCTTCTTGTTGCTGAAGCATCGATGGCAGAGCTGCTTCTGCTGGCCGGTCTTAGAGCGGAGGGTAGGATCGCCGACAATCATACGGAAACCCTGGAATAAATTAGGTGTGCTTAGATGAAGTACGCTGCTACTGCGCCTACCTTTGGTGGTGCAGTGACTTTTGTCTTTCCATCATACGGAGGAATATAGTACACCGTGACTCCTTCACGGCCTGACAACCCCAGATTCACCATTTGTGGAACACGCTTGAACGTTCCGTTCTTTGCTTTGAAGTACAGATTCGCAGTCCAATAGTTGCTGAAGTCTTCTGAGTAGTCGCAGGTAGTACATGTAGACTGCGTTGATGGATCATAATCCAGTGCCTTCATGCTGGCGTTGAAGGAATTTCCGCCAACAATCTGATGAAGATGACTTGACGGCGTCATCCCTGGCTGAACAAGAGGATCGATACGATCAATAACGAGCTGTGAGCACTGGAAGCGCATCATGGCTGATTGAGCGAACTGCCTGGCCATGAGGCCGCTGGCCGAAGCAGCATACGCATCCTGCGCGGCGAGCGCGAGTGCCAAGGCAAGAGTTTTCCACTGCATCTTGAGGCGACGTCAACTACCGTGGGTACTGAGTGAATGAGAGTAGTGGGAGCAAAGGCAGACACGGAAACCAAGAGGTGGAATATACTCTTCCGCCCTTAAAAGCATCTCCACTACCCCATTTGCTCTAGATGCACCGTGCGTTAGCATAAACAAGTCCTCCCCACAATCTCTTGGTTGCATTCGGTTCACGGGTATTGCCAAAGGGTATTCGCCTATCGTATTCTGCAAGTTCAACTGCCGTAGATTAAAAGCTTAAGTGTTCATCTACATACCTCCGCTTCTCGGCCAATCAGATCAGCCCTTTGATTGTGGCATGGCAAACTTCCGGGCATGTATTTTTCAGCACTATCGAATCATCGCACCGCTTATCAACGCTTCTGGGTGAGCGGAGAGATTTAAATGAAGAGATGACTGTCGGGATACGTCAGGATATGCTGGAAAATGTCTCGACCAGATTCTCGTTGAGCGAAAGCACTAGAAACCGGGGGCGAGACCCGTTGGTCTTACACATCGCATCCACAAAGGCGCCCAGTCGTTATATATCGGTGACTGAAACAGGAACGACATATGATGATTTATCGACCACCACTTGATATGATTTTTAAATTTGGTCCAACCTGTTCCATGGATGCCCAACCCCAAGAATACGGAAACGTTCCAGTGTCCCCATTGCGCTTAGCTGACCCCGAGGAGTATAGGAGGAGCATTTTCGGGTTTGAAAATACTAGGAGACACCGTTGGATGTGTGCACGAGGCCTTCTATGCATGGAAAGACTCTAAATTGACATGGAGGTCACGCGATGGCACTAAAATTTACTAGGATCTACCGCGAAAACGTGTCTCTTGCCTGGTTGCTCCATCAGCGTCCACAATCCAACTCCTTTCTCATAGCTTAGGTCCTCGGGGACAGCAGGAAAGACATCTGCAGTCTTCTTCTGACCACCTTTCCACGTGAAGCTGATCAAACTCCCGCCGCTTTGGGTCAAGAAGAACTTCCCATTGATCGATATCCCACCCTGGATCTTTGTCTCGCCATGTTGAACGGCCTCGGATGAAGTGGCCATGCCATTAGACGTCTGGAGCAACCGGTTGGTGTAGTCGAGGTCAAAGCGGACGAGGCGAAGATCTGTTCGTGAGGCATGGTATTCACCCACCACAAGAGAATCCGGAGTGGTAGTTCGGTCCAAAGAGATAAACGAGAAGCGAAGATCTGTCACACCGGACTTGGATTGCCAGTTGTAAGTCCTTACTTGCGGTAATATGTATCCACACCTGAGATCAATTAATCAAGCAAGCTGGCAGTTTCTGGCTTAATTAATTGCGTTTTAGTATAAGGTTTAGCTAGATTAATTAAATTAGCTTAGCAGAAAGTTGCTAGCTTAATTAGTAGCTTAAGTGCTTAATTCCTAAATAGGAAAGTTGTATATATTTTTTAGTGTTAAGTCTTAGCTGTTGTCCTATGTATCTAGATTGTTGTCTTCGCCTACCTACTTACTAAGCTTGTACAAAACGTCTATCTGCTTGTTAGTAAGCTTTAATTAGCCTATATTATTGTTATTACTGCCACTAAAACTAGCCTGTCTCTATTGTTATACTAAGTGTAGTGCTGCAAGTAGCTTAGGTAATATACAGTGTTAGCAAGGCTCTAGTAGATCTCTAAGCTTACTAAAGACGCGCTCACACTCACAGCTTAAAGCTAGTATAGAGAGTATTATAAGCGCTATCTTACTAAAGTTAGGATATTAATCGCGTAGCCTAAACTAGTATTATATAGGATTAGTGCTCTTACTAATAATTAGCTTACGCTTCTACTACTTATACTTATCCTCCTTAGTATTGCTGCGTGTAGAATTAATAATGCTATTAATTATATTATTAATATTACTTAGTTTCTTTAGTGCGCGTGTGTAGCAAGGCCTTAGTAACAGTAGTAACTTATAATCTACCTATAGTGCCTAGAAATTAAGATTATTAGATGCTAGCTAATTAGACTTCTTAGCCTACACTTAATTATAGTAGTGTTTATAGCAAGAATAGAGTATTATAGCAGTGTAGTAAGCTAGCAAGTTGTTAAGTTTAGCATAGTACTTGTTTACTTTAAGCAGCGCTGCGTGTAGATTAATAGGAAGATAATCTTTAAGCGCCTTATTATAAGCGTTATAGACTACGCTATTATAGTAGAGGAGGTAAGCTTCTAATTAAGTAAGTAGAAACTTAAACATTAGAATTACTTTAGTAATTACACTAAAGCTATACTTACTATGTCTTTTAAAGCGCTTTATACACTCTTTAAGTAGCCTAAGAACCTTTATATAGTTAGTAATAATAGCTTAATTAGCAGCTGTAAGGCTGTCTAATCTTATCTACTATAGAGCAGCAGGCTAATCCTTGCCCTGTAAGTTAGCGTAGATATCCTCTTTTACTATATTTTATATGTAGGTGTTTGTGTACGCGTTAATAGCTAGCGTAAGCTTTATAGCTTGCTTAAAATAGTTAAAGTATAAGTTCTAGTGTGTAACTACTAGCTTAATTAGCTGCAGTATTGTAAGCTTGTTATCTGCGTTATAAGGCAGCTTACAGTAAGCTGTACGCTGCGCCTTCTTAAAGAGATTGTACTGCTGCAGTGTGTAAATATAGTTAATAATATTAAAAAGTACACCTAAAGGTCTATGCTTTTACTACTTCTTTATAAATGCTGCCTTATTAGTAAGCTTGTTAACTCTTTTATTATTATATAAGTCTATATCTCTGCCCTAGAGCAGTCTCTACCTAATTAGATTAATTATATAAGGGCTATAGTAAAGGTGTTAGCAAATAAGATTAAATTTAAGCTTATAAGCAATTACAGTAACAGCAGTGTTATTATTAAAAGCATTATTAAAGATAAAGTAACTAAGTGTGCGCTTACTTATACTAAACTGCTCTAATATTAATAATACAACTTTAGCTAGTTAATTGCTAGTGTAAGCGCCTGTAAGCTAAGGCAGCGCAATAGGTAGGTCTTAGAGCTTGCTATCTAAGTTAATGTAGTAGGTAATAATACTAAGAAACCTGCGCTTACTAGCTTTTATTATCTATCTATTAAAGCTTATATAGATCCTGCTAAGCAATTGTAACAGCTTGTAAACAACACAAGGCCTAAGCTAGTTAAATAGTTATATAATGTATTAGGAGACGCTCTTGTAGTTCTTCTACAGCGCTGCTTTAGTAAGCAGGTTAGTAATAGTAATTAAGTGTTAAAAAGCTAGTGTTTTAAACTTAGAGATAAAGTAGTTGTTTATAATAAGCTAGTTAACTATAGTAAACCTAAAGCGCTGCTTGCTAAAGCTGTTAATCTAATTAGCTACTGCCTATAAAATAGGGACTCTTGCAGTAATAAGCGCGTTATAAACACTAGTAATTAAAGTCTTGCCTAGTGCTACAAGCTTATAGCTAGGCTTCTGCTTACTAAGGTAGCGCGCAGCTAACAAGACTACTGCGCTTGTATTATATATCCTAATACTAATATCTATAAGCTTGTGCTTAAAACACTAGTAGCAGATAAAAAATATATAGGTTAGATCTTTAAAAAGAGCAACATAATAGCTGTGGCAATAAATCTAACTTTACTTATGTTAGTGCGTTGTAATAGGCTTTATATACAGCTTAAGATAATTCTAATCTATGCTATTATAATTATTTTTAAAATAGGTGTTAAAAGCCTTATCTACAGTGTTGTTAGCTGCTTTAGAAGATAGAGTAAGTGTAGCTTACTTACTGCTTTTAGTAGGCGCAATAATAGCGTTTTTAGGCTGCAACTTGCGCAATTACAACTTAAAAGTATATGTATATAGAGGCAGCAGAGATAGGGTAGATAGCTAAGATTAAAATAACAGTAAGTTAATTATAATAGGCTAGCTTACAGTGCTGCGCACGCGCTTTTTAGGCAAGGGAGCGCTATTAGAGATACGTTTCTTGGGCGGCATAAGGGCGACAATAGGGTGAGGTATACAGCGATAGATCTGCAACACCAGAAGTATATAGCATTGTGGGTAATAGATGGAGATGGAGTATACAATATAAGACAACACGCTAGCTGCTAGTTACACAGAGTTATTAGATATTACACAATACTACATAGTAAACAACACTAAAAAAAGTTTAGTATAAAGCTTTTACAGCTATCTAAGCTACTTTATAGGCTGCCTTATCTTTAAAATCTACTATATACTTAAGGCAATTAAGCTATTAATTTAAATTAAGCTTACAGAAAAGCTTAGCTAGATTAATTGCGTTTCTATATAAGGTTTGGCTGGATTGATTGAATTGGCTTAGCATCAATCTTCTAATTAAGCTATCAAGCTGGCTTGATTGATCTCAGGTGTGTATGTATCTACAGTGTATGAGTTCATATTCGGTACATGGTGTGAATGGTCGAAATTTGGAAGTCGGTTCAAGAACTCACTTGTATCCATATGCTCCATACTTCGTCCCAGATTTACCGATGTTGTCCTTGATATTCCCGTCCACTTGGTACATATGCGCTAGGTCGAATACCCTCAAACCGCCGGTGGTGTCTACTACGTAGATCAATGTGCCATACCACAGGATACCGCCCGCATGAAGGCCCGTGATCGCTTCGAAATCATCCTCTCCTTTCGGTTGGACAAGCAGGACATGACGATATTTCTTGGTGCCTCCCGGTCCTCGATTCACGAATGCGACCCTGGCTCCACGTTTCCCATCGTCGTAATTGTCTGAATGCCAAGAAACCAGATGAACACGATGACCATCAAAGTCGCCTTTTTCGTAGGCATCCGCCGAGGTTGTGATCCCCTGCGGATACCATTTGTCCGTGTTCGCGTCATCGAAATCCGACGAGGACTCCCATGAATATCCACTCGAGGTAACGAGGTGCTTCACGTTTGGAGCCGTGCTCGGATTGCTGTGGTTTATATCTCCAATTATATCTCCAACCTGGACGTTCAGGAGTGCTTTGTCAAAACTCGCGATCGTGGATGAATACCCACTTTGCTTTAACTTGTAGTCCGACACGGTAAGGTTCTTCCATGCTGCATTGCTTGGACCTGGGAGCCCAAAAGCGAAAACCAGAAGTAGTGCGGAGTTGAGCAAGTTGCGTGGCATTTTTGCGAAGAGAAATGAAGTCGATGTTGGATTCTCTTTGTACATTCATTACCGTGCCCTTTATGTGACTTGTTTCGCTGTAAGATTGCAGCTGAAAGTTGACCATGTTGATATTAGTAACCCGTTTCACAGCCCGAGAAAACACGAGGCGATCGGAAATTTGAGACTGTGATTTACACGTGGTGTGTGGCTCAATGCGAAAAATGCGGGAGCGGAACAGGATCGACAGAGGGTTATACTTATATTTAGCTCGATGGTCTTCATCCAAGAAATTGTTTGTCGCTCTAAACAGAAAACCCATACTGATCCCTCGCACCGCACACTGGACTTTACAGCGTCCAGAACACCAAAAGCAAAGATTATAACTTCGGCTTTGGCATCAGGTACTCAAGCACATTTCGGGGGCTTGCTCAAGACATTGTAGTTTTATTTGGTGGAAAGGATACAGTTTTTTGATTTGGCTTTGCTCTGTGGCCCTGGTGGGGCTAACACCCAACTCGAAACCGACAAATTAGGGGTATCTGCGAACAAGCGAAGGGAAGGGCTACTTGACTATATACAAAACTTTATCTATCTCTTGGTGCAAGGAGTACAATCGTCTATTAGAGCTGAAGGATATGCTTGAGAGAGAAGACTTGCTACAGAGAGCGATTAGGTGTGACATCAGCTTGATCCTACTGTAGCTGCAAGCATACCTATGAGGGAAGGCGTCACAGATGCAAACTATAAGCAGAATATATAAGAAAAGACACGTATGTAGAATTTAGAGACTAGGGTGTGTTAGCCAAATCCAAGACGGCCCGGTGGACTCTGCAGGGAGAGGTGTGCCCGAGGGAGGTCAAACAACTATGTGAGTTGGCAGTAGTGTTTCTTAAATTGTTTCCTCACCGCTCTCTTTCCTTTTCTAGATAGCTTGAAGTTTTCCGGTGTGTTTGGGCGTGTTGAATGCAGAGGAAGTCCTAGTGGTCCTGACCACTGTGGACTCTACATATTTCCGCCCATTCGCGTTGAACCACGAACCACTCTGAAATTTGTACACCTGGCCCATGGGAGACCAATAGAAATAAACCCGCCTTTGGGTGTCCCATTCCCGATTTGCAGGTGAAGTCATTCCATTTGGAATCATAATTTCGTCGAGTCGATTGAAGACCCTGTTGACGATATTAAGACAGTACCACCATTCACCCCCCCAACCTCTCAGTTCTATATCCACATATTCAATGATCGAAGCGCTCGTATTACCTAACTGCGTCCCATTGGCAAGGACGTAGTGGGGTTGCAGGTCCCAGAGTCTCTTTTCAATCGCATAGGCCCTCTTCATATTGGTTCGTGTTTCGATATATTTGTAGTTCTCCGGTTCGCCTTCCTGAAGTCGCAATGCTGATACGACAGCAAACAATCAGGAATTCTCTGCTAGGGGTTAGGCGTACGGGTTTGTAAAAATTAAGCAAAATTGAGTTCACAATCTTGAGCGGCTTGATGGCGTAGGAGATACCTAGAGCGATATGAAATTTCTTGTCCTCGATCGTTGTGGCAGTGTCCATTAACCTGGATCTTGGTGCGAATTAGATAACGGCTCACAAAAACGTGGGACTGGGTAAGTATGGAGTTCCTAATTTTTTACATGGCTACCGCTATTGAAATATAAAGGGGGTTAGAATGGCATTGTGTTTCTACGTTGGGTTTGTGGCACAATGGCTCATAATGCAGTCCGAGACTCCTGGCGGTTACGCGACGGAAATGCCAAATTCAAGATGCGCGTGTCGAAAGGGTATCTCATAGGGGTTCTCATTGTAAAGTTGGCCTCTCGCAGCCTCTCGCAGCCTCTCACCTACTTAGAAACGAGAGTTCACCCAGAGTTGGAAATGGCGAGATGTCGGAAGCGTGAATAATCATCGCGACTCTAGCTGCAGGAACTCTCCTGTTTGGGTTGGCAGAAACTTTGCTTTGAAGTCTCGGGTATCTATGCTAGACTCGTAATGGTGGCTCGTCGGGGCACATGCCCGCGCCTCACAGCGGGGGCGACTTTCACAACATCGCCTACGTAAAACCGACGATTGGTGAGAAGGACTACAACGCGTACCTAACTGCGGAACAGCGGTCAGCATGTTTCACACCTAGAACCCTTCCAATAAGAGCCTGACGTACGGTGCGTATACTCATTTGCGATGACTCCGAAAATAGACCGCTATCATAGGAAGAGAGGCAGGTCGAAATGAAACTAAGCCTTGGGTCGAGGACAGTGTAACGTGATTGACTTGCTAGAAGGTGTTGCTATATAATCACACCCACGCGGCAAAGGCATTGAAGAGAGAGGGGAGTGGCGACGAGATAAGCCTTGAGTCAAAGCACATGGGATATTGATGTGGTGCTCTAGAGCTTGTGTCAAGTCTTCGCAGCGGATTGAGATAGGGTCCTCTAACAAACGTAACGACAACGGAGAACTAGAGTCAACAACTCGAAGCGTTCGTTCGATAAGAACTGCCTCATACATCCTGCAACGGAAGCATATACTGTCTTCGGGTTGATATTGATACCCTTCGTTGTTCGGGATTACGCGCGTCACGGGGATACACTACTAACTGCTAGGTTAGAATTCATCACGACGAGAAGTACAAGAGCGAACTACATTCGCATCATCCTAACATGCGTCATTCTACCCTATCTGCTACAATGGATAAAGTCCCTATGGGCCGATAGGTCGAACCCAGAAGTTTTACCCTCCACCACATTCAAAGTCAAGAAGAGCTTGATGTGGTGTTGAATCCACATCCTGGCACCACACACACCGTCATCGTATGGACATATCGGATCTTGCCGCCCTCAACCCGAAATTCGTGGCTATCGGGTAGCCCGCCACTTTTACCTCCAAAATCCAGCATCACGTCTACCGCACCAACCGTCTCGTCAATAACGTATCTTCGATTTCTCATGTCAATACCCGACGGTACGCCCGCGTTGCAGGTATCGTTTGGCAAGCCCTTGCCACCGTACAGACCCCCCTCAAGCCGATTGCACGGTGCACCCCACGGAACAGTGATGTTTGGATTGTTAAACAGATCGCAGTACGCATCCGCCGCCTTTTTTATCGTGTCTCTCGAGTCGCGCTTTTCCTCTGGGATTGTACCCCAATTCTCCTTTGGTGCGTAATACATGTTACCCGTAATGTTAAAGAGCCAATCACCCGGCTTTGTGATGATGGTGTCGACCTTGTTGATACGATGATTCGCAAAGCGCAACTGAGTACCGATGACGTACGGAGCATTCAGGTCGTTCACGTAGAATTCTGTGAATGTCGCGCATGCTGTCGTGTCGTATAAGCTCCGGTTATAAGATATCACGAGCGGATGCGTCAGAATCCCGGTGTCAACGTCGGCTTTCTTGGTGTTTTCGAAGTATCCCAACCAGGTGCTATTGTCAAAGCGGGCTTTGAAGGCAGAAACTTGACCAGACTGCTGCGCGGAGAGGTATTCGTCGACAGCCTCGGTAAGCCCAGGGCGGGTGCAATGGGAGACGGCTGTCGCTGCCAATGCGATTGTACTGAGGAGGAGACGGAACATTCTGGTTAGCGATTGAAATTCTGGATGCGGGCTGATCGGGCATTTATCTGCTGCTGCCCCAGGCGGTTCACAACGTTAAGATGGTCATGGTAATGTGGAGGCTGGGGTCTCAGACACCGCATTATCCGTTTTTATTTGGAACAGATGGGATTGTTGTTAATAGATTGGCTGTAGTGACCGCAATATATGGATGAAATGCATTGTATGTACCTGCAGATGGATCGATGTGCCCCACATCCATGTGTCCCATTGCACGCAGAAACGAAATTGCGCCAGGAAGGAATGAGCACAAGGAGATAAGAAGTATAAGACAAGAGTTATTTTCAATACTCCCAATCATCATCAAAGGCGTAATGCGGTGGCAATGATGGAGGATGCGAATCCAGAGGTATAATCAACTCCGTCATCCCATACTAGAGATGGAACACGCCGTTCCATTTCACTAGCAATGGAAGAATAAGCATTATTTTGGCGCTCCCTGTAGCTGTTGCTCACGGATGGTGTGCGGCTCGCTTTCAGTGGTCCCCTACCGGAATCGAATGTCACGGTCTTACGTCCTGGGCATTGACAAGCAAATATAAATGGTGGACGCGTATAGTACGCAGGCTTAGTGACTGGGACTTTCTCCCACTAATATCTGTGCATGTAGAGCGTCACTCGGGTTTAGAATGGCTTTTCTTCCTCTTTGTCTTCGACCATTTGCTTCTTGGTGAGCCTTTGCGGCCTTCGCTTTCCGCTTGTGCCGCCTTTGCTCTGTGCCACTTTTGCATTTTCTTTATGGAGGATTCTGCAGCCGCGCAATCCTCGGCTATCTTCTTCTAGCTTTTCTCTTCGCTTTATACGTTGGTCGCTGTCGACCATACTCCTTCCCGTATCGTCACCGCGATGGGGTTTCCACCTTGTCTCTGGCCACCTTTTGTCTAGCACTCTCTGCGGACTCTCGCCGTATTTCTGCCTCAGAATCCTCCCTTTCAGGCCCTTCCCTCTTTCTTTCTCCTTCACCTCAGCTGCAACCCTTTGAATCTCCTGAAGTCGACGCCAGGACAGATAATGCTCCACGAAACCTCTTAAAACATCTAACTGCCCTTAACTCTAAGTCTGCAAACGCTTCACGGCCCAGGAATTACCTACGAATCTTAAGAACCTAAAGAATCTTACTAACGTGTTCAGTTTCCTAGACAAATGAAATACTGCTACACGGAAGCCGCAAATGGGGAGGTTTCGCAGGCACAGAGGGCGGTACATGTGCTCGAGGGGGTGGGCTAGTATTGGGAGTCTCAGCACCACCAGGAGCTAATTCTCCATCCTGTTCCTCAAGGTCCTTGTCTAAATCCGGAGGTAATGGGTCATTGACGGAATATTCCAGTCCCTTCTCCTTATCAACCTCACTCGCTGCTGTGAATACAGATGTCGAGAGAGTCGAGGAGCGAGATTTTAGTTGCTTACGATCAAGCCATTTACTTACAACAGGATGTCCGTTAGCTGCAGCTAGTGACCTGGGATTCAATTCCATTCCGTGACCCTTGAGCACTTGGAAACCATCTTCCGGTGGCTTTCTTCGTGTGAGAAAGTAGTCGATTGGTCTTAAGTCATTCATGTCTGGCTGGTTGACATTAGCTCCGAGTCGGATAAGTCCATCTATCATTTGTGCGGAACTTCTCTTTGCTGCGATGTGAAGTGGCGTTGCCCCGTCCTTGTCAGCTGCGTGGATATCTCCCCCAGCCCCTCTTAATAACCAAGGAATGATCGTGTTCCCGGAAGCGGTTACTTCATGAAGGGGGGTTTGGTGTTCGTAGTTTCGTGCATTGACGTCTGCGCCTTTCTCTAGCAGAAGACTGACGACTGCATCATGCCCCTTTCTTGCCGCAAGGTGAAGAGGTGATCGACCTTTCCCATCTGCTGTAAAAACATTTGATCCGTGTTCAATTAGAGTCCGCAGAAGATCGACGTGCCCAAATTCTGACGCGTAATGTGCCGCGATGCGCCCCTTTGTATCCGTAAGGTTTAGGCGAGCTCGGTGGTGCCAGTCCGCAAGAAGATGCGAACAACATCTCAACCAGCCTGCCTGGGAGGCTAAATGGAGCGGCGTTCTGAATTCAGAATCCAGTACATTTACTCTTGCACCACCTTTAAGCAGTTTCTCGACTATATAGTCGTTCCCTACTTCCGCCGCGGTATGGAGGGGAAGCCGTCCTTTGTCATTAGCGAACTCAACAACCACCGAATCTGCAATGAATCGATCTATAATCGGGTTCGACCCAGAGCGAATCGCTGTTTGAAGAATATCATTTTTGGTTGGTATGTCGAGTGGATCCTTCAAATCGTCGAGTATTCGTTTTGCTTCACTCCAACAGTCCAGAATCACCGCCGACTTCAACACAGACACAGCTTGAGAAACTGGGACTGTATTGACGAATCCTCTGGTATATAACATCTTGAAGATCTCTTTACAACCATTCTCGGCCGCTATTTCGTGGAGTTCTGATCTCAGCTGAGTCAACTCATTCTTGGTAGCCTGGGAAAGAGGAGATTTGTAGAAGTTAAGTAAGGAGCTAAGGACTTTGTTGGAGTTGTACCGCACGGCGAGGTACAGCGGAGAACGTCCAGATCGTTCGATCGGCCTATTGGGTAAGAGCAGTTGATCTCTGCGAAACCCTTGAATCCAGTCTACAGACTGAACACACCTATTTCGAACAGCATATTCAAGAGGCGTTTGTCCTCCAGATTCGCGTAGTAAATCCTCCGCAGGGTTGGAAATGAGGTCGTTACCAAGGATATGACAGAGATCAAATGAAGCTAATGTGAAGGCAATTGATGAGTGTTCAGACATTTTTTCTAGAGGCATTATCGACCTTGTTCTGGCACCGTCCAACCTTGAAAACATCCGATACCATTTTCGATATGTATCTCGGTTTCTAAAAAAGGCTCTGATAAGCCGAAGAAGTGTCACACCTACAGGAGTGCTGGAAGGCTGTTTGGCCTTCCAAGATTCCCGTACGTGGTCTGTCCAGAACAGAACCGCATAGTTGAGAAAATTGAGAGGGTCCTTCATGTCCTGGAAGGCTGCAAGCAAATAGGCCAGAGAGAGCTCAGCTAAGACCTCGTGAATCTCTTTGTGGTGCTGTAGTCGACCTATTTTGGTCGATAGAATGTGTCTGTGAGGATCCGAGCTAGCATTCCATGAGGCCAAAATTTCCATAGCGGGCTCTCTAAGGCTGCTATGCATCAATGTGACTGTGCCTTCGGGTTTCTTCACTTCTAGTAATGGCATGGATTCAACCTCCTCTTCAAAGTCGAGCATCTTGTTTTCCGTGAATATTGCGAGACTGGAAGAGGTAGAAGTCTCGATATCGTGGGTGGAAGTTTGAATTAATGAGAAAACCTTGTCTTCTAGGGAAGCTTGAATAAGGAACGAAAGGCTATCCAACGACAAGGGCGCTTTTGCTTCCATGACGATTACGAGCGCGTTCAGAATTATGGATGCCCGATAGTCATCGGCGCTTGACAGGAACCTTGTCAATAAACCAAGGATATTGGAAGGAAGGTTGTTCATGACTCTGCGACGCATCGCCGGACTAGTCTGTATTTCGACGTAGCGAACCGCCAGTCGCACCCAAAGAAAGCTTCCAGGGCTAGATCTGAAAATGCTTTCCTGAAAAGTCTTTGCTAAAGGTTCCGATATTCGTTGGCGCTCCACAATGTTCTTAATTTCTGCCTTCGCATATTCTTGGATGCACTTGTTTATGGCCCCTTCGCCAGTGGATGATTTCTCAAGCGCCATATCCTCATTGAGATTATAGCTAAGTGGTGAGGAATCTACTCGCTCGGTTTGCGACCGCGCAGTAACGAGCACACGTATCCATGAGGCATTGACGAATTGTCCAAGTAGTCTTTTCAGTTCCCCCTGGTCGTCACATTCATCGAAAGCGTCAACTATAATAGCAATCGGTCCAATACTGCTTTCTTGAAGGATCAATTCCAGGGTTTCGGTTACCGCACGATTTGAAAGTCGTGGCTTGTCGATGATCTCAAAGAACGGTTTCCCGTACAGGTATTTGAACAACTGCCTGTCCTTGACGAGTAATTGGTGGAGTAGATGCTGACAAAATCCGGCTATAGCTCGTCTTGCATCCACAGACATATCGAAGTAGTATGTGAGTATGACTTTCGGTGCCCAGGACAACGGCGAGGCAGTAAGTTTGCTCCTCTTCAGCAACTCTCTCGAGATGTACTTTGAGAGCACCGTTTTCCCCATTCCAGGGCCGCCTAGCAGCCAAAGCTGCCGTTTTGAAGTAGTAATATCAGCCCTGCGCCAGGATTCCCATATGTCGGTAGTAAAGATATAGTCACATGTGCCTGGATAAGGATTTGAGATCATGTCCTCATCCAGCCTATCTTGGCTCAGCATCTGCAGAAATTGCTCTTCCTTCTCTAAATCTATTAGTAGATCTCCTCCAGTAACATAAGAATCCCATACCTGGAAGCTGGAGATCGGTTCCAGGAACAGTAATCGTGGGGTTCTCGATGAATTCGCTATAAGAAAGTGGGTTGGTAGTACATTTTCCGTAGTGGACCTCTTCGAGGAGGTCCTTGAGAAACCTTTTTAATCGGAGATACGCTGGATCACTTGGGTTAGAAAACTTGGGCATTTCGATATGGTCTACGGCACGTCCGACAACCTTCTCATTGATAGCTCCGACGATGGCGTCTTCTACACCGACGATCTATAACCTGTGAGCAATTTATGAAGACTCCGGGCGACCTATAAGGTGAATACCATTTGCTTTCCCCTAATCGTCGGTGTGAGTTTCTTCTCAATGAAAGTTAGTATCCTAGTACTGTTCCGATTGGCAAGTCCACGGAAGGATGATGATATTTCTCTCAAGGTTTCGTCTTCAAGCATGTCTTGGACGAGTAAAGTTAATTTTGAAAGGTCCATACTCCTAGACACCAAAGAGCGCTTAAGGGCAATAATCGTTCGTTGCCACCCTTCTCTTGTTGAACTGGAGCCTGGAGTGCCAAAGAAGCAGATCCCTTTGGTATTTTCAGAAATGATGGATGAATGCGGCCGATTCAAAGCCTAATCTTGAGTTAGAATTAAGAATAAGCTTTCACTAGAAGCTGTAGGTGTAGCGTACAGACTTGACGATAAGACCACCCATACTGTATGCTATGAAGATAATGGGTAAAGGGTCTTCGCGAGTGAGGTCCTCGAGGAGTTTTTCTCCAAGCGAAGTGAATGAGTTTGAGTAATCTGGTCGGAGTATAAACTCATACTCCCAGGCAAGAATGCGTGCATTTGGGAACTCCTGCCGAATATCATCCGGCCATGCGAAGCCCGGGCTTTCCCAAGTTTGCTTGTGGCTCCCTTGAAGTCCATGCACGAAGATGATGCTGCAACGCGTTAATTTAGCCTGTGAGACGAAATATCTGTCTAAACTTGCCTCGCCACTGGCTTCGTACCGTAAGGCTCAGAAATGGTTCTCAGCTCAGCGATCGGTCGCACCGAATACGGCTCCATGCGTCGCGTAGCAATGACGACACTCGAGACTTAGGTTAGTTAGGTGTAAAGATGAGAGTAGTAGTTAGTGAAGATTAGACCAGAGATGAGCTAGTAATATGAGAGAACCACCATCAAGGCGCTGGAGGCTGAAGTGAACTCAGTCTGGCTGGGGGAAGGCTGAAGTAGTACTGGTGGGGTAAATTCTTACCTGTATTGGCTCGGCATTCCGATCAGGTGGCTCCTAAGCGAAGGAAGGACCGCCATAAAATCCCATTGGTAAACCGTACTATTAGCGAGATGTGGCATTCGGGTGGGTTGGAGAAGCACCCAAAGCAAAACAACTGTACTTGGGAGGGGAATTTAAGGGCGAGAAACTGGCAGACATGTCCTGATCAACCTGTGTTGCAAAGGAACATATACGGAGCGTAGAAAATAATACTATCTCCTTGGCTTCAGATTGTCCTCTAACGTTTGTTCTTGAGCTGAGCAAATATTCGACCCTAGTTACAGGAAAGCAGATTGCAGTGACTTGATAGCACCACCTCTTCTCAACGTCGCAAGACTATATCACGGGGCAGTAGTCTCTTACGCTGCTTCCGCTAGCCAGCGTAAACGATCCTGCAATGCCTTCTTCCTAGCCCCTGGGGTCTTCTTCGTGTTCAATCTCTCAGTGAAAAGGTTCCAGGGTTGAACGAACTTCGGATTGTCGCGATGGCAAAGGCCCTTGAAGAACTGGTCCATGTTTCCACCCCTATACTTCTTGATCTCATCAATCAATGCCTCCTCCTGAGCATCTTTTTCCCCAGAATGATAGGACATCTGGACACATAGGAGGAGCAGGGCAGCGAGTCCAGCGGCTAAAGCCGTAGCGTAAGAACTACCTTCAGCAGTCTTTGAGCCTGAGGGTAGAAGATACTTGGGAAGACCATCTACTTCCAACATTTGCGAGGGTAAGTAGAAATCGGTAGGCTCTTTTTCCGCCTTCTCACAGGGATCACCGTCGAAGTCAGCTGCAGTGATTGCAAAGACATCTCGCGAATTTGCTGGATAAGGACTGTCAAGGCCAGTTCCAGCCGCACCACTATCTTTGGTAGAAGCGAAGATGAGCGCCTTGCGGCTTGCCTTGCCTATTTCTTCCTGGAGAGTACTTTCGTAGGCTCCAAGGCTCCTCTTCTCTATAGCCCAACTAAGGCAAACAATATCCACCTCTTGGTCCTGGGCCCATTTAAGAGCCTACCGAAATTAGTTACCATCTGATGCAACATATCTAGTTTGGGGGGGTTCATCCCACCTTTATCACTTTGTCCAGCTGAACACCTCCTGCGTCAAGGCCGTGTTTAACACTTCCTACGTAAAGTTTGGACCAGGGATTCATCTGTTGAATAAGTCTTGCCACCATAGTGCCATGAGGGTTAGATGGGGAATGCCAATGCGTATCCACGGGCTCCATGTCGCTCCTGTCGTCTTCGACGAAGGATCGACCTTCGGTTTTATATAATGAATTGGAAAGTGGAAATACACCGGAGTCGATTATAGCGACCTTTATTGGATGTCTCCGGCAATAATCGGTCTCATTTTTCAAGGCCTCGGAGTTTCGAAGGGCTTCTAAGAAGTTGAGAAACGGATTCATCTCAAGGACAACGGACTTTGCGTTGCTTCAGATGGATATTAGCTTTAGGATTTGTCCCTGTGCGAATAAACATTCGAGCTTAGCTTACAGTGCTTTAGGTGCATCCAAATCCCATGCTCGTAGCGCGTTATGGCTCTCTAGTGGTTCCCAGAGAGGTTTTTCAACTTTGACTGCGACTGCAGCCCTACACTGTTCACAACGGTCAGCTGCCGTTGCCGTTGCCGGACGTTTTTTGTGGTGACGATGCACTGTGTCGCGGAACCGCGCATTCCACGTCTCTTCGATGTTCTCAATGGTGTGTTCGTCTTTGATGTGGCCAATTTCGGTCTATCTTGGTTCAGCGTATATCATCTTGAAATGCTGTGCGGTACCATGTCCCCTGGGAAAGTAGTGATGTTCAGAAGCAGTATAACACATGGCCATGGGGAATCGAGAGGTATAACCCAAGCAGAAAATAAATGACACTTACACGTCCGATTAAGACATTTAGGGATTGAAGCTGTGATGTATTTAGTGTCAGGGGACCTGAAAATAGTATAGGTTGTGACAAACCTGAAGTTTCGGAGCTCCGAGAGTCGCCCAGTATCCCAGAACATCGTCGTTGCCAGATGAATACAGGTGCAATCGCTCCACCCCTGCCTTGCGAAATGTGTCATGTAGCGAAGACAGGCTGAGGTCGAATTTTCTCCATCGTATCGATCTCACTTGGAGGTTTGAAAGGGAACTCTTAATTTGCTCGTTCGAATGGGGATGAAAGGGACAATCAGGGACGTTAATTTCGTCAATATAGGCTACAGATCTCTCGCGAAGATAGTCAAAAACGTCGTTCGCCTCAGGCGATAACCGACCGCCTGAAGGATTCACTCTGCACGGTTGGCTGGGATGACATTTCAAGTCGGGTAGCCTGACATATTTCAGGAAAGGAAGTAGCTGGACGTCATGGCTTTGGGGAGAATGGACCTCATCGGTTGGCCATTCCCTCCACTGTCTTCTCTCCTGGAGGTATAGTGAGAACCTTGTGGCAGGATCTGTCAAAAAGCCGATATCAAAGTACAGGTCCTCAGCTAGGTTGGTGTCACTGATTTCGGAGCGCGCAAGCGTTGAGAATTAGTACTTACGATTATCTGAAGAGAGTGAGCAAATTTCGGCAGGTTTGTAAAGGGACATGACACATACTATTTCCAACCGCCAGCCTTACAGATGCCATGCTCTGACAGTATTGGAGTGCATGCGCGATTAGAAATTCTACGACTTTTGTGTTGGAGTGACTAAGGCTTCCCTCTGTGCTCAAAGCGGATCGTTCAAATAGCCGTTCTCGCCTTGTCTTAGCCAAAAGACCACTAAGAGGAGATTCGCCCTTTTTGTTGCAGACCTCGATAAGTGCTGGTTTCCATTCCAGAATTTCGCGAACTGCGGCCTTATCTAGAGATCTTTTAACAGCCCAGTGAAGCACAGTATCGCCATCATTATCAGCCGAATGATCGAAAGACCATTTCAGAATCATTCTTAAGATTTTGATTTTTCCTTGAGATGCTGCCAGATGAAGTGGGGTTGCGCCTTGGTGGTCGCTGACTCGACATATCTCGAACCCGTTTTCCTTCAGACGGGCGAAGGGTTCAAAAACGCCCATCTCCGCCGCAAGGTGCAATGCACAGCGCCCATTTTCGGCTGGAAGTAATGCCCATTTCTTGATGATGTCAGGAGTGCCCATAGATTTTAGTACATGATGAAGGATGTAGGGACCGCGCTTTTCTCTAGGACCGTGACACTCTTTGTAACAGCGAATTGCTTCCCAAAGAGGGTTTTCGGTCGCCATAATCCCAGTTTCGAGGGGTTCCAGTCCATAGTAGCCAAAAATTAAATCGAATGACTGGAGGCTGAAGCTCGATATCGCGTAACAAGCATAACCAAGGAGATCCCTATCCCTCTGAGGATATGTTTCAAGCCACTCTTTCAGGGCTTCCAGCTCTTCACGTATGATCTTATCGCATAGAGAACGATCGAGATAGTGACTCCGCGAAGCTATCATCGCGCCAGTGCTTTCTGAATAAATGTACAGCTGGGTAGTAAATAGTCAAGGTGTCGAGGTTGTGGGCATCCAAAATTCGACAAGGCTAAGGCTCTGCTCTCTCTGCTTTTTCTGCCCCACCCTTCGATGCATTGCTTTTCAGCCTAATTATCGGGCCACTTATCGCTACCCCAGTGCTCAAATCCCACTTTTCGCATACCGGTTGTGTTTTATGCTCCATCACCCAACATAAGGCATCTAAGCACGACGTACTTACGAGCGCGCTCCTCCGGATCAGACGCTTCTATCTTTTTAAGACCGTTCGGTACGAGAATATGCCTCAAACTATCGCCCTCGAGTTTGAATCGGACCCTTCGCTAGATGGAACGCTTCATGGGAAGGATTTCGGGGAATATCTCGCGAAGGGGAAACGAGGTGGTGTCAGGTATGAGGTGACATCGTATATCGCGGTGCATGGGCATATGATGGTGAACGACAAGAAAGAGAAGGCAAGCCTACTTGTCTACAAGGTCGTTGCGGTTGCGTCGCGCGCAAGACCGATATCAAAACTGGAGGTTGAGCTCGTGTTTCGGAAGAAGGCCGCTGCCAAAGCGGACCCAGACCCGCGACTCCTCAAAACCTGTCCCGGAGAGCGAGGGTTCAAACTCGAATGCAAACAAGGATCTGCCAAATTCAAATCACACAGAGGCAGCAAATTTGGTGTAAAAGTTGGCGCCGACATGGCACATGCAGAAGGCGGGTTCGAAGGAAGTCGGGAGCAGGAGTTAGATCAGCCACTCGAGTTCTATGCCCTCGCCACTGGCACTAGACACTCCTCCACTCAGCGCGGTCGAACTCCAAACGCAGGTCTATGGACATTTGAAGCTTCGGGCCCCGTTAAAGGTAGCATTGTCAAGAATGGCGTGCCTCCAGTCTGCCACATAGTCGCAATTTTAATCCGCCCGTGGGAAGACGAATTCATTTGCAACGCCAAGGTCCACGTCGAAGTCGATAAGACCTGGGCTCTAGCTAACTCCTTGCCTATGTGGTGGGACAGCGTATTCTCAGAACCAATGACTTATGATCCAGAGGAGAATGAGCAGGCAGAGGAACCAATTCCCCCGGAAACTTTGGATGAATACAAGAGCGAGGATAAATTGAAGGATTTGGTTGAGATACAGTTCCCCCAAAACTATGTTGATTGGAAGTTTGGCAAGGTACAACATGATGATGAGGACGTCGAAGAATGAGTCATCAATGTCTGTTGCCCTCATCCCGAATTCACGGAGTTCCCGCGATAATTGTTAGAAATTCTTTTGATAATACCTGAATTGCCATTTTCGGTACGTGAGAAAGTACCACACACTACATTACACCCTCATTTTGTTTAAATTTTTGATATTTAGCCCTGAGATATATTACATGTGCTACTGTTCTCTCCCCTCGCATACTGAATGATATTTTAATACAAACTCTGAGAGTCCCTAATTCTGCGCCCATCTCTATAGATCTCTTCCCAGCGCCTTCATAATCCTTAAATGAAATTGTACAAATCAGAGCGTGAGCAAATGAGAGTAAGAGAGTGTTAGTGTAAAAAACAGGGTATACACTTTGCAATCAAGAGGTGTATTAACTAACAAGGGCGTGACTGTGACATAGGAGTACAATTAGTACCCGCCTAATTTCTAAGGCGATCCTCTGCTATCTAAAGAGGGCTTCTACAACTGGCTATATACTTCTCTAGAGAGTCAGGCACGGCAGCGCTGGTAGCGACGGGTCTAGTATGCTGTAGGTCTAGTTCAAAGTATTACCTGTCTAGGATGCCCAACTACTACTTTTATTTATAATGCTCTTATAGAACATTTTGTTAACATATTAAATATAAGAGTTATTAAAATATAAGTTTATATTAGCTAAGGCTAATTAATTTTTTTAAAAAAAACTATAGCTAAATTATAATAAAGTAACCTATAAAGGTTTATTTTTAAGTTATTAAGTAAAGTTAAGCATAAAAGAAAAAGCTAAAAGTAAAGTAAGTAATAAGTAGGCGTAAGTAAAGTAAGATAAGACTATTAAAGCTTATTAGCACTCTTTTAGGCTAGATTACGCTAAAGTAGCTTAAAATATACTTACTTTAAAAAGTTTAAAATTTTCTAAATTCTAACCTATAAAGAGGGCAAAGGTGTAAAGAAGATAGACTTTTTAAATAGTTAGACTCTATATATACTATCCTAACTACTACTTTATTAGCGTAAAATATACTACTATTTTACTTTTACTTTTACTTTATACTTTTACTTTACTTTTACTTAATAACTCTAAGTTATTTTTAAATAAACTTATATAAAGTTAACTAAAATAGGTAAAAGTAAGCTTTTAAAGCATTATATAACACTTTATTATGCTACTTAGGCTTATTATTATCTGTTTTATCCTCTAAGTTATAGAACTACTATAAGGGGGGATAATATAACGCTAGATGTCCTAGAACAGGCTAGTATAGCCTCCCCTTACCTGTTTAGAGGTCACATGACCTGTGCTTTGTATATAAGCATAAATCCTAACAAGCGAGGCTTAGCAGCGATTTGTCTCTCTTACAATACACTTCTATCTTTCTCTAAAAGCTTGCTCTTAGTGCTATCTATGCTACCTACTATTCTATCTGTTACGGTCTACGGTTGGACCAGCGTAACTCCACCAGCAGTGCTCCACAATCTAGCTGGATTGGGACAGGGCTCGCTTATGGACCAGTCGGACGACACGGAGGCAGCACGGTTGCCTGCGGTAATAGAAGAATGCGTTGTCTAATAGGAAAGTAGGACGCAAGTCCTAAGAAGGCCTTAGCAAGTTTAGCAAGCTTAAACAAGTTAGCAATACAGCAAGAACAGCTAAACTTGTTAAACTTGTCTAAACTTGCCTTAGCAGTCCTTACACATGTATATAGTTTCTACATTAAATAACCTTTAGAAGGTGTGTTTAATGTTTAGTTTATCTCTACATAGACTAAGTAGCATTTAGCTTTACAACAAGCTGCAATACTATTTGTATATCTTGCACTATATATACCTCTAATTCTGTCTAACAGGACTGTTTAGCCTAGCCTCTATACTGCTGCATACAGGGCAAACCACAATCTGGTCACTCTCCCCTCCTCCACTAGCCTATTAGCCTGTACGTGGGACTGTACACCCTACTAGATTAGCCTCTTGCTACCTGTCCTACTCACCCCTAAGAATATAATTAGACCTAAGCGCTTCCCTAAAGCAAGGATTGTAACATTAAACACTACCCCCTCTAAAAAGTATAACTACACAACACAATACAGATTCTAACATAGCCTACACAGCCCTATTAGGATCTACAGAGGTTCCTAGTTAAAGCAAAGCTATCTTAGTAGAACAAATTAACATAATCTAGAATAACATTAAAAAACTCTAGCAAATTAGTAAAAAAATTAGTAAATTAGTAAACCTCTAATAAAAAGTTACTACCTTTTACTAGAAAGTAATAGAATTATAAAAGTCTTCTAGATTATTAGGCCTCTAAGAAGCTACTAATTATGCCTACTAAATACATAAACTATAAGTAAAGCTAGCAAAAGTTTAAAACATCTTTACTAAAAAAGTAAGTAACATAGCTAAAAAGACTTTAAGACTAGCCCTTTTAAAGCCTTTTAAAAGATGACTAAAAGATCTTTAACTATTTTTTATAAAATATTACTTTTATATGTAATATAATTAAAGAGCATTTTAAACTAACATAGAAATAATATCCTAGATAAGATTACACCTAGAAGAACCTCCTGTAATTTAGTTCTAACTACACGCAGATAATTAGATAGATTTTAGAGCTAATAGTATACTACTTAACTTTAAAATAAAGAAAGTGTTTAGTAGCTTTAAAAATTTTAAAGCAGCCCTAACAGCTATTTATAAAACTTTAGATAAGAAAAGAATTATAGCTAATAAGCTAGATACTATAAAATAAGCAAATAAAATAGTCTAGAACTATGCTGCCTGCTTTAGAGAACAGCTAGCTATCTGCAGATAGAGCAACTAAAAGGCCCTATGCTATATGTTTTATAATAGATTAAATAATAAAGTAAAAGATAAATTTATGCACATAAATAAGCTAACTACTTTTAATAATTATATTATAAAAGTAACAACTTATAATAACTGCTATAGAGAATGTAAAAGAGAATAAAAAAAAAAAAACTTTATAAAAACTAAAGTTTATTCTAAAAAAAAAAAGGCTTTTATAATATAATAAAAAACTAATAAACTTTAGTTATGTAAAGCATATATAAAGCCTCTTTTTAAGAAAGAACTAAGTTTTAAGGCGTAAAAGGCTACTATTAATAAAGGAATAATAAAAGTAGTTAGAAAACAAGGCCTACTTAAACTATAAAAAAGTAGAACACTTCTGCTAAAATTACCTAAACTTTTAAAAAGAAGAGAATAAAAATACTACTATAATAAAAAAAGCTATTACTGCTAAATATAGCCTTATAAAAGAAGAAATCTTAGAAAAATTAAATAATAGACTCTACTAGTAATACAAAGAGAACTACTTTTTAAGTAACTATTTTAAGGTGTATTAAAAAGTAACTATATAAAACTTTAGTAGCTTAGACATAGTGTTACAGAATCTTATAATTCTTAAAAAATATAAAGAGAAGACTTAGATCTAAGGATACATTATAAATATTAAGAAAAAGAAAAAGTAGTTCCCTCTTTAAAACTAGACCTCTAGCACCTTAGTATAAGAACTTTTCTAATAATTTTAGGAATGTAAATGCTAGAAGTGTAGACTATAGTATAACTACTTAAGCTATTATATAGTCTTGCTTTACTAGATAAATATTAGTAATAACTACCTTACTTTTAATATAATATAATAAATAACGTACCTAACGGGTTGGCCGGCCACACAGGTTGGCCGGCCACTTTTGCCAAGCCCCCACTAAAACCACCCTATTCTCTTGCAAAACAGCCCACTTTAGCCCTGTATAAAGTAATACAACACAAGATATTATTTAGAGTCTACTTCTACTACTTGCTTACATGTACGCAAGTTATGCCTAGTTTAATTGCACTACCTGCATTACCTTTAACTTAGCTTACCTCCTTTAGCGCGCACTTGTGTCTTTAGCTTCTTCCTATTACTACGCGCTCTAAACTCCTTTAGAGCAGTTAGACAAGCCCTATTCTTAACTATTAAAGTCTTTTCTGCCTAAATCTGCTTCTTTTTATGCAATTTACGTTACATAGCAGCTTTATTTGCTACTTAAAGCTTTATAATTTTATAGCCCACCTTATTGCGTTAATGCCTTAGATAACTATTGTCTACTTCTTATTACCTTACTATATTACCTTTAGCTGTCCTTATCTCTCTAAAGCTATAATAACTGCTCTAGTTAATATCTAGCCTATTATAAAGCTTAACTTGTTAAAGTTATACCTGTCTTTATCCTAGATACTGTACTTAGCTTTTATGTTAGCTACTAGGCGAAACTAGCCCTAGATAACCTCTAGATCCTTATAAAGCGCTCTCTTATAATTATACTTATAATTAAACTTTATTATAAACTTAGAGCAGTGCTTAACCTACATACTAGTCTAGTTTAAGCTAACCTAGCCTAGATTACGCTCTACAGGCAAGGAATTAGCTATATTAGCTACAGCTGCAAGCCTAGGGAGAAATCTGCGCGTAATAAGCTTAAGTATGTACTTAATAACTACCTCCTCTTTAAGCTTAGTTAGATTCCTTAATTTAGGCCAGCATTCTGCTTATAAAGGCTGTCTAGCGCGTTAATTGCTTAGTGTTGTGTAAGAGACATTATAGATAGCTGCAGCGCGTTGCAAGAAGAGTTTTAAGTCTTATTTAAGAGCCTAAAAAGCAAGCTATATCTAACGTTCTTTAGAAGATTTAATCTAGTGTTGTTGTTAAGGCATTATGTAGATAGGTAGAGGTTAGTGGGGGCTTGGCAAAAGTGGCCGGCCAACCCGTGTGGCCGGCCAACCCGTTAGGTACGTTAGCTAAAGTTAAGTATAATATTATAGATAAAAAAAATAATAGTAGTTTTTTGTAAAAATTAGAGACTAGAAGCTAGAAGGACTAGGCAGGCCTACTAGGTTTAAAGTCCTAGAACTAGCACTTAGAAAACCTAAGACGCTACTTCTAAGCCTTATAATTAGCAAGAAGGCTCTAGTAATGCAACAAAGCTATAGTTAGTGCGTACTCTGCAGAAGCAACGCCTACAGCACTAACAATTGCTAATAGAAAGCGCATCCTGTACAGATAGTACAAACTTAAGAATACCCTTAGTAGACTTAGAAAAGCCCCCTTAACACCCTATATAGACCTAATAATTGCCTATACCCTTAGTACTAATGCACACA